ATACTACAATAAAAAACAAAAAATCCAAAAAATCCAAAAAAATAAAGGTAAACAAAACTTGAGGAGACACTGCAAATTTTAATTTTATCTTGACTTATTCTTTGTTTCATTTTAGGTTTATAGGGTAAAATCATTTGAAATTACCCCAAATAGGTCATTACTCTTTGGTCATCTGAATATAGATGGCACTTTGGTGAAACAAATGGATTTGTGAATTTTAATTTTAAACTTTTGCAAATAAAATAGCACTGAGAAAATCAAGGCAAAAAAGGTCAATTTCTCCTTTTCAATTCATGTTTTTATGAATCTTTGTTGTATGCTAAGCACCAAACGAGTCACTTTGACATAAAGGGTGGCAAAGCTATTAGAAAAAGTTAATCCCCAACCTGATTTTGCATTCATCTACACAGTATGGTGTGGACTAGCTTCTAAAAATATAAATCCATATAGAATAAGTTTTACTCCCTCAGGAACTACTTTTTTAAATTAGTTGAAATGGTTGTGAACAACATAAGACATGGCATGTGACACTGTTTTCTTATTTTTAATGTTTATTTTTTGAGAGAGAGAGAGAGAGAGAGAGAGAGAGAGAATGAGTGGGGGAGGGGCAGTGAGAGAGGGAGACAGAATCTGAAGCAGACTCCAGGCTCTGGGCTGTCAGCACAGAGCCTGGCATGAGGCTCAAACTCACAAACTGTGAGATCATCACCTCAGCTGAAGTCAGAAGCTTAACCCACTGAGCCACCCAGGCACCATGACAATGTTTTCTAATACATGTTTGGCCTTTAATTCATTAGCTACCTTCTATTTAATTTTTGGAATTAAACAGTGGCTATACACAATGACTTTATTATCTTCAGAAACTTGAATTCCTTGAGGGCCAAAGGCCCTGTAAATAAAAAGGTGCTGTTATATTGGAAGTCATAGTGTTGGAAAAGATTCAGTTAATAGAAGTGTGGTATTGGAATATGTAAACCCACTGCTTTTTTCAAGAATGATAACGTTACTAATAGCAACTTCTACTCATGACCTACCCTGTTCCTATGCTTTGGTAAAGGGTTCCTAGGATAATGCCCTCTTTCAGCCTTGGGTCATCACCCTGCCCATTCCAATTCCAATCTGTGATGGTATTTTTATTCCATGGCTCTGTGCCTCTTAAAATAGTTGAAGTCTGTGGGCTCTAAATATCAAGCTGAATGAGTCAATTTGATCATAGAAGCACTGAGAATTTAGACTGTAAAAGCCTGGATGAGCTTGTCATGTCTAGGTAACCCAACTAATGAACACCTTGCCACACTTGACAAATTAGAACCACACTCAGCCGGCCCTAATGGGAAAGCTTGATAAACTTCTCTCCATAATGTCCCAAGACAATAGGATATTCATGGGGCCAGGTCTCTGATTGTTCTGTGACCTGCTTGAGAGAAGTGCTATTCCTCTTCTGTTCCCAACTGAAGGACTCATCTTCCTTGACAACCTGCTGTAATTACTCCATCTTCCATTTTTGACCATCAGCCTGCACTAAACCCTTTCTTGAATGCTAAGAAATTATAAATATTTTATTCCTTTCTATGGATAAGGTTTCTCCTCTTCTCCACTGGATTTCAGGACACTGGGGTGGGATGGGAATGGGGTCAACATTAAAACTTCCTTGGGTTTTACCCATGCCATGTGATACTGTGTGTCTGTGTAAATTCCCACATATTTTGAGGAAAATTAATTGGTTTCTAATTCCATCCACCAGTATACCCAGAAGAATTTTAGCCATATCATTATAAATTTCCTTGCCCAGAATTCCTAATGGAACAACAAGTAGAACCTCTGACAACTTCCAATCAGTGCCTTATTACATAATTTAAAGAAATGAATAGTCCCTGAATGAATCCTAATTCTGAGGCATTAGACAAGCATATTTCAAATAATGATATAATTCAATAATTTTTAAAATGTTTATTTTTAGAGGTTGAACATGGTTCATTGCAGACTTTCTGATGAAACAATTAGCAGTCTCAAAGATTATTTCAATAATTTTTTAAGTTAAAGCACATATCGAATACAAATTGATTTAAATAGGCACATTTAAAAAAATAATTGAAGAGTATTTAAAAGATCCCATTGAGTGCATGTGGCATTATTCCTGGTTTTATGAATACTGTTTCAATTAAATGAGTGCTGGCAGAAAACACAGTGATTATTTTATCTAGAAACTGGTGGCACTGAAAATATTAAAATTATGCATTCTAATGGTTTGCATGTGTGTATGTATATGTGTATGCATGTACGTGTGTGATTTCTGCTTTGCCTATTTTACTATCTAAACGATTATCCTTTGCTACTATTTCCTCTGAGCTCTTCCCTTACTTCAACAGACCTAATCACTCACAGCTTTTCTTGTTAGCCCTCTTCATACATCATTTTTTAGTTTTCAAATATTTCCAACAATGCCTTTTATTTTGGACAAGAGCTTTGGTGAAAAAAACTAAAGTACACTAAAATAAAACTGTATTTTGTCCCAATGCTACTCACAACCTGCTAGAACTTTCATGCTTTCAATCACAGGGCTAGGAGAATTGGCTAGCCAGGATTACCCCACCATTGCTTCTGTAATGAGCTGGGACTGCCAAGTGCTGATCTACAAGGTGAGGTATAGATATAATTTCTTCCATTACTGTGCATGGACTATGAAATTTAATTGCCCCTTCACTTTCTTGTTTCAGCTGGCAAAGGGTATACAAATTCCAGATGGAATAACATCAAAATTTGAGATATTCATTACTTATACACCACTTTAAATATTTTCAATCCTTTCTATTTGGCTATCCAACATTTCAATCTCCCTTTGTGATGTGTGCCAGCTTCCTTTCTTTGTTAACACCTTATCCTTTAAAGTTCAGCTACACGTCTGCAATTTTTCTTGTTTGTTTACTTTGGTACATCTCTGTAGATTCAGTTCACCATGGTCTATGTTTTACTAGAATAACAGCCACAGAGCACAATGGGAGTTGATTTCCTAAACTAGTTTACTGTCTTACTGCCTTAAAAATATGATTTTAAGATGAAACTTATTTCTCTAATCTTAACTTTGAGTAAATATTATGAAGAAAAATGAATTTTTAAAAGACTTGATTCTACACACTACTTAAATGAAAGAATTTTCTGAAATGCAAACATAGCAAGCTCCATTTGCTCAGCAATGAGGTACTTGCACAAAGTTCCCCCATGGCCTTTTTGGTGTACAAATTTATAATAATGAAGACTGCTGCTAAGGAAATAATTTGACATAAATGTTTCCTCTTTAAACTACTGCATTTAAAAAGTCATTCGAGTTGTAAACACTCAAGGATAAGCCAGTTTTAGGATCACATTATTGTGTCACAGTAACAGAGATGTGAATCACATTTATTTCTGTAATTCATGGATTCAGGTTCTCCTAAATTCTCATTTTGAGCTACTACACTCTTGATGTAAGTTGTTAGGAAAATCCAAATCATCATTCTTGTCACCAAGGCACCAAGAAATAATGTGCTATCACGAAATCACACATAGTCAGCTGATTTTGTATTTTGGTTAACCAGGTAGTTTGAAAACTATTATCCCACTAGCACTGTCTTCATACTCTTGAAGCAGAACTAGAGGAATTATACTGAGGTATACTTTGTGGTAGTTCTGTTGCTTATTCTTGCCCCAGAACTAACCATGGTATTGAGGATGGATATGCAGAAATTATGGTTTTCACCAGGTAGCAGTTACCATAGGTGACCAAACACCACCTACCTATGGCGTCTATAACATATTGGGTGATGGACTAACATGATTTTCACTACTCTAAATTTGATGAAAGTTGCATTTTTTTCAAAATGTTTTTTTCTTTTTCTTTGTTTTTTACCTAAACATTAAGTCCCTACATGTGGACTTATCACTTTTAGATTAATTTCTTATTTTACAGAAATAGAAATGGGAAAAAAAAAGTATTAGCAGCCAAAGTTTTTTTGTTGTTGCATTTTGTTCTTTTTGTTTAATAACTGAGGGGAACTTCTTATGTAGTTCAATCTAGGATTGGGAAAATATTCCATGTTGTCTGATGGTCCCACTTTTGGCCAGATAAGAATTTTTATAAATCAACCAATCTGTCTTTGGGGGTTAGAATTTGACGCCTATTTTAAAGTATTAAAAAAAAAAAACTCAACTCATTCTACAGTACATGTGTATAGGAGTTTAGTCCTGTATTCAGGCTTGCAAGTGTATTATTTGGTGGTTTAAAAAAACAAACAAACAAACAAACAAACAAACAAACAGCTATTGCACATCTTCAGGGGTTCTGAGGAACATCAAGCATCTAAGACTTTCTTCCTTCTTATCAGGAGAAAACCAGCTGAACATGGTATGAAAAAAACACAACTGGTCTCTGACTGGGGGCTTAACTGTCAAGGAACAGCAAGGAAATGGGTGGCCTTTTCCCCTTTATCACTGTAGTTTTCTCTAGGCATGCAGGTTGTTCAGGCTTAGTCTTGTTTGTAGCATAGTTCTTATTATTTTCATTTAATAATCTAACTTTTGGTTCTTTATATGACTTTGCAAGTTTGCATATAGTTTGTTGCTATTTTTATTTCTTTCTGAAAAACCTCACTCAGGGCCAATTATTTTGAAAGCTACTTGGAATCTAACTCATTACAGGTTTCTTTACTCCATGTAGTAATATCTGAATATAGATACTGTCCAAACTGTACTAAGAGTAATATTTGAGTTCACAGTAACAAAAGTTACAAAGTTTGTGCAAAAGACATTGTACACCATTGGAGTACACAGAGCTTGCTATAGTTAATTTTATATATAAAGCTGCATTTCTCATTAGAACTATTTTGTGCTACATTAAAAGTAAAGTATCTGATTTAATTTTTCCCTAACAATAAAACTGAATGCTCATTTAATCTCAGAAATTTTAAGATGCAGATTTCATATTTATGATGTTTGTAAATGTTGTAATAAATCACTGGAACCTTTTAAACATCATAAATGCTTTGGAGCTCTTCAAGTTTTCCAAGGGTCATGAAATAAACCCGGCTGTGGCGATTGCGCAGGGTAGAGGTAAAAAATAGCTTTAGAAAGAGAGAAAGAGACACCATCAGTAAATATTTTATACATTGTTATCTGATATTTTACAGATACAACTATAATTTCATTTGTTCTTCATCAACCAATTAAAATTATTAAGCCATACATTTTTTTTCAGAACAGGATTTCCTGAAAGAACAAGACTTTAAATTGGTACAGAGTCTAAATTATATATTTAAAAATAATCTTTTACCGTATTCTATATAACTGTACTTCGTATAGTTAAATAAAATTAGGTTTTTGTTGCGGCATTTATCTGCTGATATTCTTGATTTGTTTTGGTTAAGGATTCCCCTTTGCTTTAAAAAAAATCTTTTACTCAAGTTGGCTTTACTTTTTCTTTTAATACAAGGAAATGTATTAAACGATGTTGTTTGGCATTGTTAACGGTGTTTAAATGGCTACTGAAACTTTCTATTTTGTGGGATTTTCCATTTCAGTGGAATGGACATGACATCAATACATTGATAGTATGAGTTAAATTAATCAGCCTAGAGAGGAACATGTCTTATGAATATGGTCTGTGCCATACAGAAAATTAAAACAGAACATGAATATAAATAGCAAATGGAGGCCTCCTTGTTAGGACTAAGGCTTTATACATCCACAATGAATATACTTAGAAGAGTTTTGATATTGATGATGGTGATGATGATGGTGATGATGATGATGATAACACTAGCTACCCTTGACTTAACACATTTTATATACAGGCAGTATATGATATGCTTACTATATGCACATTAACACTAATTGTCAAAATTATTACCAAAGCAGTTTTTGATATTTCCATTTGGGAGATGAAGGAACTAAGGGTCAGGAAGATAAATCAAACTTCCAGGTTCTTATACCTAGTTATGTGGCCGAGCCAGTACTGCATGCTAAGACCATCTGACCTCAAACACTGATTCTTCCCATGTATGTCCCGTCATATTGCAAACCAGTATTTTTCTTTGATGCACAATGCTTTACCCTGGTTGTTCTAATATTAATTTGAATCCTCTGCAATGTCTTCCAAAGGTGGATGTTTCATAATTTTATTAGGATTATTTTTTCATGCTATTATTTCTCATAATATGTAGAGACTGTAATGATTTTATACAATGCATTTTTTCCATTTAAAGTATCTGAATTGGTTGTTAAAAATGATCACACTACACAAAAATTGACAAATCTTAACTTTATTTTTCTTACCTTTAAAATGGAAATAATACCCACTTGTGAAGATTAAAGTAATGTTGTGAGTATTTAGCACAAACTCTACCACATATTAGGTGTTTGGGAAACATAAATACTTTTTTCTTCTATTATTGAATTATGTTGAAAACTATAAAAGACAGATTTACTCAAGCATTCTGTTTCAAATTATCATTAATACAAATATGAACAGAACTGTGCATCAAAGGCAATAATGGATTTTGCATCACACAAAATAATGGTTAAGTTTTTCTTAGGACATAATTAGGATTTTTACTTTTTTAGAAAAAAAAATTTTTTCAAATCAAATTATCATCATTTACCAAATTGATATTACTACTGCAAAATGAAAAACTGTTTTCATCAATAGTTTGCCAACTTGGGAATTATGTCATAAATATATTTATGGACAGAAGGCATTGAATTTCCTTGTTTAATTTTCATTGTGTGCTTTATTTTTGCTGTAACTAGGGGATATAAATAATACCTTGTCACCTCGGGTACACAGAAATCTCAGCTTCTTAATTGACCTGCGCTTCAGTTCACTTTCCAGAACCCTTGATTGCAAAGAGCGGACTTCAATGGCCTTTTGGCCCCATCCTGTGGTTCGCTGTGTACACTCAAAAGCTGCAATAAAAATTTAAAAAGCAGAAAAGCAGTCAACATTTGATTAAGAAGCTCATTATTATAGTTCAGGTAAAAATATTCTTTTTTCCCTCCTTCTGCAGTTAGTCATCTGCCCATTATGCTGCTCAGCAGTGGTATTCATGCAAGCTATCTACTGTTACAATTGTGATCAATGTTGAGTAATTAGATCTCAATTAACTTTTGTATTCATATACCCTAATACCACAGAAAAAGCTAAGTGTTAATTCTATCCTGTTTGTAAAAAGTCAAATCAACTGACAGCCATTTTTTTTTATCTTACAGTCTAGTTGAGGTATAGCATTCCATAAGGGTTTGTATTTATGCTCAAGTGACATACATAAAAACCTGATTAACTTCAAAATTAAAACTGTTAAAAAATGACTTGCTCAGATAATGACTTTAGCAACTCTAATGGAAGTCAATGAATCACCACATTATAAACAGAACTACACCTAATTTGATACTGTTTAGGCTCAATCTTATTCAGGAAATTTTATTAAGATTTTAACTTTTGGACTCTGTGTCACTTGGTGACAGTAAAGATTATGACAATTGTATGTTGACAGATAATGACTACACTTATCGTGGTGAGCATTGAGTAATGTATAGAATTGTAAAATCACTATGTTGTACACCTGAAACTAATATAACATTGTACGTTAACTGAATTTCAATTAAAAAATTATGAAAATTGCTTAAAGCAGAAAAACCTAATTATGTAACTAGCTATATAGTCATCTGGTGCTGTAAGGTATTTTCTGACACAGGGAGCAGTATTATTGTTAAATGTTTAATATTTACTTTGATTTTATGTACTTTATAGGAAAGCAAATTTCCATAAATAAATCCAATCCTGCACTTAAAATAATATCAAAATTTTATGTCAAGCTGAAATAGTCTAGAGAACACCAAAATAAGGCACCTCCATTCCTATATTAACATGACTAAAATCAGAATTCAGTTCATTAGACTTCCCATTTTCTTATTTTTAAAATATTTTTTTTTAGACAGAGAGAGTACAAGTTCAGAGGAGAGGGGCAGAGGGAGAGAGAGAGAGAAAGAATCTTAAGTAGCTCCATGCTTAGCACTGAGCCTGACATGGGACTCAATTCCACAACTCTGGGATCATGAGCTGAGCTGAAATAAGAGTCAGATGTTCAACTGACTGAGCTTCCTAGGCACCCCTCCATTTTATTCTATTATAAGCACAATAAACTCTGAGTTGTTATAATATAGTCTTAAAATTTTTATCATTGTCAAAAGTCCTAGAATACCTTTAAGCCAAAATTTACCTGGCCTATATATGTAAAAATTAAATATGCATAAAAGGACACATGAAAAAATTACTAAACTTGATTAAAGTGACTTTCTATAGGCACAGTGTGAGGCATTTAGAATTCCTCAACTAAAACCTACTAAGCATTTATTATCTCTTGCCTCTTTTCCATTATAATTCAAAGTATTTTTGTGTATGAAGTTGACTACAAAATTGTAATTAAATTATAATTGCACTTTTTTGTGCAATTATATTTTATAGTTGTATTTTTATTCAGACAAATGGCTCTCCTGGAAGAAGACTTAAGTCTAGTTTCAGACTAGAATTAAAATCACTCCAGATACAAAGTAAGTGAGGGGAATCCATGACCTGATTGATGGAAACAAGTAATAGATGTAGTCTATCCAGATTTGAATTTTTTCACCTATATGAATACTTTATTAAAATTGTTATTTTTGTCAACAACCACACAGAGCAAACAATTCTAAATTTAACACACAGGGTAGTTGCTGAGTCCAAGCACACAGTTCATATGGAATTATACAATTTTCACCTTAATTCTGAAAAACATTAATTTGCCATTTAACCTAGCTACTGAGCTAGCTTGCTTATGAAATGGGATCCAATGATTTGGAGTGGGTATGTTTAGTGATACCTGCTGTGAATGCTAAGCCTCTATTTATTTGTTTGAAAATACAAATCAATGATCTTATTATTGAAAATATTTATTATATCTCAAGGTAATGTAAATTTTAGATTGGGGAAATCTGGATCTAGGATAGTTTTAAATAACAAAGCAGTTGTTTTTAGACAGAAGGAGAAATTGATTTCCTTAATATCAGTGTTATACTGTAGTCTTTAGTATATTCTCAAAATACCCCTAATACACAAACCAAAATATCACATTCTTATAGTGCCATACTTTATTTTACATGGAGAGATACATTTTTCAAATTCTTGCAACTTAAAATAGCTTTTTGTTTTACATCAGAAGTTGTCCTGCCTAAGGACAAGAGCTTATGAGATGACATTTTAAGACCCTTTGATTCCTATGATTGTCCAGTGGCATAAATATAGGGGTTTGCCTAGTTTCCCATTTCAGCTGAATTTCCTTATTTCAATTTCTGATTAACATATTGATTGCAAATGTACCATTGTAAAGGTTAGAACAAAATTCATTTTTCAGTTTCTTTTGTCCCAGGTCTGTCAATTATAAGCATTTACCTCTGTCACTGAAAATGGTTTTAAACCCTTTGGGAGTTCTTACCTATTTGAAGAAATTGGAAGAGGTTTTCAGGACAATGCTTAACACTGTGTGCAAAAAGAAAGGATTCTGCAAATGCAATGCAAAGTGCCATCATCCCATAATGAAAAAAAGTCCATTAAAAAGCAGTTCTTTCAAACTGGTCCTTAAAGCCACATGGGAATCACACTTAACCATTTCATAAAGATTTCAGAAGCTTCCAACTCTTTAACAGACAAATTACCCTACTCTCTCTCTCTCTCTCCCTCCTTCCCTCCCTCCCGTTACTTCTCCTTCCCCCTTCCCCTTTATTTGCTTCATTAATCTCCTCTTCCTTTCAGAATCATTTACTCTCCATCAAATCTTCCTATTCTCCCTAATACTTTCCTGTTCATATGCATTGTTTCTTATCTACAATCACCTTTGTAGTCACCAAACCTCAGAAACATACACAAGAGTCTCAAGTTATTCATATTTTGCAGATGAGCAGTCCTGCATTGGTCAAGAAGAAAACAATGTTCTGGCCTGATGAAGATGAAGTCAGTTTTCTTTATGTTGCCACCTGGATAGTACCTAATAGGCATTCCAGCTAGTCATATTTATCTCTTACATAAATGAAGGACGATGAAATCTTAGTGATAACCAACATGTCACATATTTAGTGTGTATTTGATTCTTCACAGGATTATCATTCTCTAAACAGATAACTATTTACTATATGAAATAGAGATATTCTGCTCTTCTTTTATGATTATTTGGCAGTCTCCTAAGATAAAGGTAACCCCCTAACATCAGTGTGAGGGAATGAAGCATTTCCAACATCTGCATAAAATCTGCAACCAAAGGGAATTAAAATAAAATTATGGATTATTGTGGAAAGGAATTCCTTTCTTATTTTAATTTTATGATTATTGCACATGAACAACTAAAGCAGTTGAAATTAGACTCTTTGTAGTAGCCTTGTGAATTCATTAAGCATATGGCAAACACACACAACTTAGTAAGTATGCAGTATCCTAAATTAACCCTATATGCCTTGAGGAAATGTGATATTTCAGAAAACAGAAGTTTCTATAGGATCATATGAAAAAGAAGAAATTTTGTACATACCTACTGAAGATGGTATGTTTTTCCACACCTCAAGAATCTTCTTGAAGAGTTGTTCATTTGCTTCCATAGAAAGGGCTTCAGCATTGAAAGTGAGCATCATGCCAATTCCCAAGGAATCAGGTAAAATGATGATATTCTGTGGTATAATGATTTCCAGGGGCTGGAATTATGTTTCATAAAGATTTATATGTCCAACATTTTATCACTACTACTTTAATTGAAGCAGCTTGACTGAGCAATAAAGATCAAAAAGGGGTTTGAAGTGCAGGGAGGAAAAGAAACTTCTATTTTAATATTAAACAGCATGCTATCTAACATTTTAATATTAAACACCATGCTCTCTTTGAAAAGAGCCTTTTCCATGTCATAAAGACATCACTGTTTAAATAGTGTACTTTAGAAAACTTTGTTTGAAAAAAAGCAGAGAGATATTTCCAACACAGGAAAAATTGTTGAAATTTAACAAAGTGTGTATAATGATAAAAGAAACGTTACTTGTTACAGAGTTGGACTACAGATTCATTTCAGCACACTAATGAATACTTTAGTGATGAATATGTGAACCAACTAACAAATACACAATCACTGGTTATCTACACAATTAATTTACATCAGAAATAGAAATTTAGCTTTAAAAAAAGCTTGAGCTTGAAATGTTTACAAGGGGCAACTTTATAATATTCATCACTGCTTGAAATAAAACAGCCATTCTCCCTTCACAAAAATGTAGAATTTCTTATCTAAATTATATAATCATAAAATATCTTCAATACACAATTCAGACATGAGAGATGTATCAGGTGACATAATATGAAATATTAAGCAATATCTAAGAATTCGTTAATTTTATGATGTTAAAACAATGTGATCAATTTTAAACTACATAAATTGCCACATTAGTAGTATTTCTCTGAGAAATGAACAATTACATTCCTTTATTATTTCTCTAAATTAGCAAGTTACAAGAAAATAAGGTCAGAAACTATACTTGCCAAACCCAGCGCACTCAGGCCAAGTGCTTGAGGCCATGTCTCAGCAACAACAATCCTTAAAACTAAAATGGGGATCCAGAGGCGAAAAGCAAATTTAATGCGTTCCCTGGGCACTTGCATGAGCAATTGAATCAGAAAAGAGATGAAGGAAGAGAGAAAAAGAAATTTCAAGGAAGAAAGTTGTCTAAAAACATCTGTTTAGAATAGAGGTGGACTGCTGTAAACCCAGAAAGCCTCAGAGGTAATTCCCTTGCTTCTCAGAAGATTCCTGCAGTAACCAGATATTCTTTAGCACACATGGCTCCCTTGTAGCATTACAGGTTTTGTACTTTGGAGCTCTTGGAAAAATTGCATTTTTAGTGCATTCTGTTTCAGAAGACACTCCCCTCCATTTTATTAGAGTCCTTACTGTTTTAATGGGTCAAGACACTAGGGCATTTAGCTAAAAATACTATTTTTTTGATATACTTAAGGTATCATAATTAGGTCATAAAATAATTTTTTAAAAACTGATCTCTCATTCTTGCTTCTACAATAATGAACTGATTGTTTCAAAAGGAAATAATTCTCCTTGCTTGGTAATCAAGTAGAACACAGAGTGCAATCTTCCTGAATGATGTTTCAAATAAGTATAAACTTGGACCAATATTGCAATGTTTAATATGGCACTGGCTTCAAAATGAAGGCTATCTGCCATGTCATAAAAAAAGATTCAGGAAGCTATGGAAGACATTCAACTGACAAGTACTATAATACTTACATTAATATTAATCTGAACTCATATCTAAGTGACTTTGGCTGGGCTTGGTTCAATACTTTCTACATTATAAACAGGGTGGTTTCTATATACTCATAGGTGACAACTGAGTGATCAGCTAATTAGATTGTTAATATGACCAACATGTTTTTTTAAATGTCTCCACAAATGATCTGACAATTGCTCTATGTAATTTTTCAGAGATGTATGAGACAATTCTGAAAGCTATGTAAAATATCATATTACTACAGTGACTTAAAAGTACAAAAAAGTTTTCTCCTGGACTTTTATATAATGCTAAACTGCTAAAATTTTAGTTGTCAACAAACTGTGGAATTAAAAAAGGGTGAAGCAGAGATTTGTTGTTTCAGCCCTTTTTAAAAAAGATATAATTTTCAATAAAGCAAACATCACTGCTACCATCAAATTTGAGACACTCAGAATCATATTTTGTATGGTGCATGTGTGTGGGGGTATTATGTTCAAACTCTATAAATTATGTGTATGGTATTTTTACAATTATCCATATTTTAGATATTTCCCCATAGTCTCATTACTTATAATTATTTAAGAGTTAAGAGTTGAAGTACATTATCTTTTAAACTGCTGAATTCTTTGATCAGAAATTCTAACTATAATTGATACTATATAAGAGAACACTATGATAATTTGCTATATGCCACAGTTAAAGCACTAGGATTTGGATAATGAAGGAGGGTACATATAATAATGTTGCAATACTGCTGTATTTTTAATGAATCTGTTTAAAAATGTATTATGGGGTACAGAAGGACTAAAAGCAAAGATTGCAAACTCATACATCTACTAGGGCTAGTTATTATAAATACATAAAGGTGGATGGATAGGCAATGTATGTGTATATTCCATCTAAAAGGGGGCAGCCATAAAAAAATAAAAATAATAATAAAATAAAAGGGGCCAGACAGGAATCATTTCCAGTTGATAATGGCCAGATAGTAATGAGAGCCAGATGTTATCAGACCTTTTGGTTTATCAATGGAAGTCCAGATTTTTAAGTGTAAACTCTATTCATTTAAAAACAAACAAACAAAAACACTGTGCAAGACAAAATATATCTGAAGAATAAACAGACTCAGCTGTGTGGCTAAGAAGCCATTAGTGATTTCTGTTTATCCATTACTACTTTCTGGTACTCTATACTTATCTTTTAGGTTTCAGCTCCAGTATAGATATTCATAATCATATTTTTAAATCTTTAAGAGTTTTGACTGTTAGAAAAACTCAAATTGTGGTGTACAATTTCGAGGGATCTTACGTTATTTGGCAGAGTCACATCAGACATAACCTCAGATTCTGCATCAATGATGTGATATCCATCTGCTGAGCTGAAGAAAATCTTTAGTCTTTTTTCAGAACCAATAGCCAGGTCAACTGTCACTGGCTTATGACCAACTGTTGGAAACACCTGTAGATATAAAACCAAATATGGCCGAAAGGCCAAAAATGACACTCTGACTAAGGTAAATGTTCCCATGCTCTTGTTTAACATGTTTATAAAATCCTGGTTGATTTCTAAAATTATATAATGCATTTAGAGACCTATGTATTATCAATTTTTCTTAGGTCTGTTACTATAACAAGAACATAATTATATTGAGGTTTTAAATTTTGAGTTTTCCTTCAGAGGCCAAATCTTCAATGATTATAAGAACCTTGTATGGCCTGCACTCTTTTCACTCTTTTTTCTGTCTTTAAATTCCTTGCCTTGAGTTTCAGCAGATGAAGGAGCTCATCTGGTCTCTTAAACCGGTTTGCTGGATCAGCTGCCTGTATTTTTGCCAGTATTCGTATATAGGCTTCATAGGACATGTAGTCTCCTTCGGAGTCTGCTGATTGATCAATGCATACTTGGTAGGGAATGAAAAAGGCCAGACATGTTAACCTACCATAGAATGGATGTACTCTAGGCTCCTATGATTCCTAATCCAAGGAAACAAAAAGCCAAACAGGATTCATTGCCAAGTTCAGGTCACAGGAGAAGACTGGGCATCACAGGATTCACCATACTGTAGTCATGAGGTGAGATTCAAGAACTAGAGGGAGGACTTTGACCAGAAACTGTATATCAGGCTAGACAGATTGTTGGTACTTATCTTCTTTGTTTTCCAGCTCCATATCAGGCAGCTCTGACCAATCAGCAGACAGCCAAGAACAAACCCATATCCAAATACTGACAGCTGACCCAAGGCCCAATTTAGGGAGATCAGATCAGACCTGCCAGGGCAGACACAGACTGTCTAATATAGTAGTCTGTGCTATTTACAAAAGAACATACTTATTATTCAAATAGACATTAAGAGGCAGTTATAGAAATTAGCCCATCTTATTGCATACATGTGATGTTTTGGCCTTGAAAATATACCATGTAAACAGATCCTGACCTTAGATACAAAATTATTTAACAAATACCTTGTTGGAGTCTATCATGATGTGTCCTTAATCAGTGCTTTGTAAAAACTTGTGCATGGACCAACTAGTTCAAAGTCACCTGAAACATTTGCTAAAAATACAGATTCCCAGGCCCTACTCCAGACCTACTAATTCAGCCTGGGGTTGGGTCTGAGATCTAAACTTTTAACAAATGTTGCAGATGATTCTGATGTTCACTCCAGATTAGGATTTATTGGGGCTGTATATAATGCTCCAAGTTCATTAATCAGTCCTCACTGCTACAGAATAAGCACAAAATCATCCTATTTCACAAAATTCTGGAGTATTATTAAAAACTAATAAACATAAAGAGTTCCCAGTTTATGAGATGTGATTAAAAAATCATTAGTGACTTAGTTGTTCGGGACACCAACTGGTTACCTTAAGAGACTGATCCATAGAAGTTCAGTTAAACCATAATAAGGGTGGAAATATTACTGGTAATCCAAATAAGCCTAACCACCATTCCTTGCAATAGTTCTGGAGAGAAATGTGTTTAGAGTTCCAGCTTGGATGAGATATAGATCCACCCTTTTCTCACCACCCCCATCCTTGTAGCCCTGGTAATTAGAGCAAAGGCTTTCTCTTCCCTCATTCCTCTTTCAGTGGGGCTCTCCCCTCTACCATTGCCACACCTTTCCTCACCTTCCCTCTGCTCTCCAACCCCCACTAAGAGAGAACAGGGAATTTCTCAGCTTCAAGTCATTGGGATGGCACCCAAAGCCTGTGTTTGGGGCTCTAGAAGAAAAAGTCTTCATGTTGACTACAGGAATTGGGAGAGAGGAGCTGGTAGGGTAGTCCTCTAAGGGGAGGGGTCAGGGATTTCTCTCATACTCTCCCTTGCTGTGTGGCACCTGTGAATTATCTAAAAAAGGGTTAAATGATAATTATTCACATGGTATAGTCAAATTACATTAACTGTAGAAGAATGGTATATATTTCTGCCAGTATATTTCAAAATATTGTTGTGTTTACAATTTCTCAAAAGAAAAACCATATGATCTAAAGAAAATGGAGACCACTTACTTTAATAGCAGTACTTTCATCGAAGGACTTTGGTGCCCATGCATAAAGGTGAATTGATGACTTCAAAGCAATTGCAATATATGTTGTTTCTTCATGTTGGACTACAATGATAAAACACAAAGAAGTAACAATGCCACAGAGTTAACAAGAACACTCAGGTATTTGTATTGGTCATTAAGAATGTTATAACCACAATATAAGCACAGATTATATATATTAGAAAAGCTTTTTAGTTACAATTTGATGCCCCCCAAAAGGTGACAAAACTAACTATATGGTTTTATGAAGTGTATGCATTAGACTTTAAGAGTACTCTAAATTGTACACTGAAAACTACAGAACATTGCTGAAATAAATTAAAGGAGACCTAAATAAATGGAAAGACTTTTTGTTCATGGATGGGTAGACTTAACATTCTTAAAGGGCAATACATGGATGGACCTAGAGGATATTCTGCTAAGTGAAATAAGTCAGACTGAGAAAGACAAAGACTGTATGACTTCACTCATATGTGGAATCTAAAAAAAAAAGGAATAAACAAACAAAAATCAGAATCAGACCTATAAATACAGACAACAAACTGATGGTTGCCAGAGGGAAGGCAGTCAGGGGATGGGCAAAGTTGGTGTAGGGGAGTGGGGGATAAAGGCCTCCAGTTAGGGAATGAATAAGTCATGGAAATAAAAAGCAAAACATAGGGAACATAGTCAACGATATTGTAATAACATTGTATGGTGACAGATGGTAGCTACATTTGTGGTGAACACAGCATCACATACAGAGAAGTTGAAGCAATATGTTGTACACCTGAAACTAATTTGATATTATATTGTCAACTATATTCAAAAAAATCCAGCTGAGCCTTGCTCAACTCACAGACTTATCAGAAATAATAAATTACTGTTGTTTTAAGTCACTAAATAAATAAATAATAAAAATGTAAATATTTTAAAAAGTGGACAGTACTATCTAAAGTGATCTATGGACTAAATTTAATTGCTACTAAAATATCAATAGTCTCTTTTGCAGAAATGGAAATGCTGATCCTAAAATTCATGGTATTAGAAGAGTCCTTGAATAGCCAAAACAATCTTGCAAAAGGAAAACAAAGTTGAATGACTCATACTTCACAATTTCAAAACTTACTACAAGCTACAGTAATCAGAACAGTGTAGTACTGAGATAGGCATAGGCATATAGATCAACAGAGTAGAATTTGGAGTCTATAACTAAACCCATATATCTATGGTCAATGGTGTCCTATCCATTCAATTGGGAAAGAATATTCTCTTCAACAAATGCTACCAGGACAACTGAATATCCACATACAAAAGAAGAAGTTGGACCCATTACCTCACACCATATGCAAAAATTAATTCAGAAGGGATCAACGACCTAAATGTAAGAGCTAAAACTATAAAACTCTGAGTAGTAAATATAGGAATAAATCTTCATGGCAATGGATTTTTATATTTGACACCAAAAGCATAAGAAACAAAAGAAAAAAAATAGATAAATTGAGTTTTATCCAAATCAAAATTTGGGGGCATCAAAAAAACACTATCAAGAAAGTGAAAAGATAACCTATGAAATGGGATAAAATATTTGAAATTCATATATCTGATAAGGGCCTAGGATCCAGAATATATAAAGAATGCTTACAACTCAACAACAATAAGTAAATAAATAAATAAATAAATAAATAAATAAATACATACATGACAACATTAGTTATCAGGGGAACACAAATCAAAACTACAATGAGATACCACTTCACTTGGATGGCTAGAATCAAAAGACAGACATCTACAAGTGTTGGTAAAGATGAGAAAATGGAGCCTCCATACTTACGGCAATGTAAAATGGTGGAGCCACTTTGAAAAACAGTCTGGCAGTACCATCCAAGAGAATATAAAACATGCATTCCCATGTACAGACACATGTATGACAGGTTAATACATTTCGTGTATTAATCCACATTAATTTGTAAAGAGTATAAATGTATAAATAATGGATGTGCAAAAATCATATGAACAAAAGGTATATCTATACAATGCAACACTATTCAGTAATAAAAATAATAAATATTGATACAAGTTATACAGGCTACAGCATGCATGAACCTTGAAAACATTATACTACGTGACAGAAGCCTGTCACAAAAGACCATATAATATATGATTCCATTTAAATAGATTGTTCAGAAAAGAAAAAGTTATAGCAAAAGAAAGTAGATCAGTGATTATTTAGGACTCTGAGGAGAATAAGGTTAATGTAAGAGAGATGGAATGTGGAGTGATTGCTAATGGCTATGGGGGTTATTTTGAGATAATGAAAATGGTCAAAAAACTCTACAAGCATACTAAAAACCATTGATTGTACACTTCTAAATGGGTAAATTTTATGGTATGTAAATTATTTCGATACAGCTGCTTTAAAAAAAGAGAAATGAATAAAAAGTATATGCTTTCTTTCAGACCTTCTAATTCTTATGGAATATGTTGTCCTACTTCCTAGATTTATATTTTGTGTTAAAACCCTTTTCCCTTGTTTAGAACATTGTTTCTGTCCTTTCTAGTCAGACTTCATCAGAGACAAAATATAAGGCTTCTCCCCGCTTCTCTTATTCATACCTGCCCCCCCCCCGTTGGTCTTGCTCTCACTCTCGCTCTCTCTCTCTCTGACTCTGGTTGTTACTTTTTCTTTTCGACACCCAAGTAGGCTAAAGAAGCATGATTAATATACCCCCAACAAGCAAAGAAATTCTCTGTTAAGCAAACACTTCCTATAATTTTAGTATATGGCAGTAATTGGTGTCAGTCCATTATTTTATGGATCTTGAAAGGCTATGAAAATTCCATGCAAATATGAGTACATGGCTGTCCTCCTATATTCACATGTCAATAAGACAAAGGCTTTTAGTTGTTATGGGAGGGTTGTAATGGGTTCAGCCAGGAAAAAACGCCTTAACTAATCCATATACTCACCAAGAACACAGATTTGCAAGATGTTCTTGTAACTGATTATTGTAAACTCTCTCTTGTTGAACTAAAAAATTTACAAGTTAATAGGAGGCAGTTCTGCTATACAAACCCTTTGTTTAACATCTTGGGATCTCTTTCACCTTTGGCTACTAAATACATACAATATGATTTGGAGGAGAGTAGTGATACATAAAACTAGAAAAAAGTTATTTAATGCCTAGTTTGTCTGGGTACTCATTTCTCCCTTTAATGGTGTATGTGTACTTATATAAACACATATGGAAAACTATTCTGGAAAAGCCTCTTTATATACAGAACAGAAATGGTCAGTCAGGATAGCAACACCCTGTTAAAATATCATGTAATTCCAGCTATCTTTTATCTATGTCACTAGTTCTGTCTGAAGGGGTAATTAATGAAAATGAAAGGAAGAAAACAAAGGCTGAGAGGAGATTTGCTTCAGAAATAGAACAGAATGGGATATTATAACTGTCTAATTGTTGACAGATGAGAGCAGGATTCTGAGACCCTGGAGTTGTTACCTCTTTTTGCAGTGGATAGTTGCAAAGAGATAAGACAAATGAAAACAATCTAACAGAAAAATATTTAGCAATTATATTCATGAATATTGATAGTGGAAGCAAGAACCAGCAGACCACAGAGGAATTTTCTTTTCTACTCATTGCAAAGTTTCCTAGCCAGTATTAAAATAAATTTTCCAATTAAAAAAGTGGAATTATTATGCGATTCTATTTTATTGCTTTTCCAAAGAAAGATAATATCATATGAATCTCCATACAGGTATCGCAGATCCATTAAAAACATTCATTTTTAAAATTTTTTAATGTTTATTTTGAGAGAGAGAGACAGAGCATGAGTGGAGGGGGTGCAGAGAGAGAGGGAGATACAAAATCCAAAGTAGGCTCCAGGCTCTGAGCTTTCAGCAAAGAGCCCAACACAGAGCTCAAACCCACGAACCGTGAGATCATGACCTGAGACAAAGTTGGATGCCAAACCAACTGAGTAACCCAGGCACCCCCAATGTACTTTACTAAATGAAGGAAAGCAAACTTTATATAGCTATAGTAAACATGAAAAGAGACTTACGGACACTGAAGTGTTCACAACCTGTCAGTTTATCAATAGCTTTGCAGGCTTCTTCTGTCTTTAGCATCTCCTCTTGTCTTCTTTTACTATCAGGATCATCATTCAAAATCTTGTTCCTCAGCCAGGTCAAATGATACACCCTAAGTCTGTTCTTATGGCCTGATACATAAGAAACAGTATTTCAATTCTATTTTTTCTTATATTAGAAAGAGAAAATAATAACAGTATTTTGTCCTTTTAACAAAATCTTCTCATTAAAGTAAAAAGCACTTTTAGAAAAACTACACTATATTAGATTCTTCCTGTCAGGATTTATAAATATGATAGAAAAGTCTTTCTTAGTCTCTCACTTCCAAGAGATAGTCAAAATGTCTACCAGCTACCTATCTGCCTATCTGAAGAAATGTAAAATACATCTTTCGGACAGATTAAGACTGCCATGGTGCAGGCAATAGAATTACCATCCATGTTTTGACTTTTATCTAAGTCATGATCTTTCTGGGATTCAGAGACCCAGAAGCTGTTCCTGGTAGTATGTATGCATGAGAGGGATGTCTGATATATTCACTGTTGGGCATTCGGGGCTAGTGGGAAGGGTCTTTTTGTGCTCCTTCTTTCCAGCATACTTAGAAAATAATTAAAGTTTTATCATGTTTTTCTCAATCCAATTTATCTTTAATGCTAATTTTCTAATTGTAAATCCCAGCAAATTCTTACAATTCCTTCAGGAAAAACAGACCATTAAATTACACATTTATTTGTATACATAGTGACTTCATATTCATTTTTATAGTTTATTTTTATAAGATTTCTAGGCCCAACAATAGGATTCTTCCTTGTGATTAATCTTAGATATGTTTTTGCATGACATTTTTTAAAGCAGCATTAGAATTCAGACATCTAAGTCTATTTCAATTCTACTCTTAAGAGGTAGAATAAATTTGTACTCTAAATAATTAGGTATCTTTCTACACTGATGTTCTCAGTATTATTTGATGCAAAAATAATCTACATTTGAGAGAAACTTAAGCATTAAAAAGAGCACATTTTGGTTAGAGAAAGTTGGATAAAAAATAAATAAATCGGTTTTCCAGATGTGCAGTCTTTTGGCCACCCAGATGTTTTCAAAATCTAAATGTTGTATCTGTATACCTCAAGCAATTATAAATTAATGAAAATGAAACATGATCAAAAAATCATGAAGCTTTAGCATATCTAGAGAGTATTTCCCCCCAACCAAAACCTAAAGCAGAGTTAATAATTTTTAGGAAAATAAATAATCATTAATTAATGTGCCACATAGCTACTAGGTACAGACAGGAAGTATGCAAACACATAAATAGCTGTAATTAGCTTCATTTTATTCTACAAACTATTTTTTTAACTTTTCCTATCCTTTTGTCAATCATCTTTTGCCTGCAGTTGGCGTTAATACTAGTGCTTTTCTAATACTGAGTACTGTTTAGTAGTGACAATTATTATTAACATCTGTTTACTTGCTCTCTCATATTCAGAGATTCAGGCTCTGACTGACCAAAATTAAGAAGTTCATTTACTATGTGGGAATAAGGTCGAGGTCTTAGGGTATCTGTTCTTGTAATTAATCCTATCTGAAGACTCTCATGATAAGGCTGTGCCAGGGGCAACACTTTCATTTTTATCCAATTATTGTCCAGTTTGTTCTTTGTTAACTTGTGGCAAATCACAAGAAAAGTATATGATGAATGTGGTCATGTACACATGGGTGGGTAAAATTGTGAGTCATAAGGTTGTAGGTGGCTACTCAGAAAATACATGAAAGATGTAAATGACATGTTTTTTTCTTATCAATGACTTAGGTGCATTACCAGCAAATATCCAGACACAGAAGGAAAGTCAGAAGTTAGTTCAAACTGTAAATAGACAAGAAAACACAAGTAGGAAAGTTTGGTGTCCCAATTTAAGGTTATATTTAAAGTGCTTTCCTATGAACACTGTCACCTGAGGAAGTCTTTAGCCTAGTTTGGAACCTAATTTATCTGCATAATTACTTAGCTAATTTTAGTTCTTAAACAAACCGGAGATGGTAATCAGCAAATTGAGTGGCTCTACAACTTGAATCTGACGGAATGGTCTTCGCTTTATGAGTTTAGTAATGTCTGCCTTTCCACTTCTGTCCATCAGATACAGATTAGATCGAGTTCCCAACAGCAAATTCACTCCTGTTTGTATATAAAAAGAAAGGTACTATATTAGCTCAGATCACATTTTTTTATAATTGAATTTATATTAGTACTTTTGCTACTCCAGTGTGCTGATCTGTGCAAACATGACTGATAACACTTTAGGCTAATGTTAACCTCATACTGTGTAACAGTGAAGCCTATCAACAGAACAAATTTCACTGAAATACACTAAAATGTAGAAGATAATACCCTCTGGCAATATTCTACTGGCGGGTATCTGGTGTGGCATCTCAAAAGGAGAACTTTATAAATATCTGAGCATCCTTTAGCAGTGTCCCAAACTTTAGAAAAATTAATCAACCGTTTTGAAAATTACCATTAAACATTAAGGATGTCTATTGCATATGAAAACTTCAATTCAGTTGATTTGTCATTCCTAATTATAACTAAAGGTTTTAATGCTTTTAAAATAATTATATGCAAATTGTTTTTAAATTGAGTGATTCTGTGTTCATGCAAATATTTAAAACTTACATTTCTAAATACCTATGAAAGTAGTTCTTACTTTTATTTATCTAAATTTCTACATTCTATAGTCTACTTGCTCTATTTATTCAAACATAAACATGGTTTAAAGACTGAATGAGAGGACTGAAATGGGAGATTAAGCTAAATTAGAATATACTTCAAACCACTGTGGGAGTTTTCCCCCCATAACCTGAGGAAAAACTCAGCAAAGTAATACAATGGAGAGTATTTCAGTGTCTTCCTTCTACTTGTAGACTATTTGTGTTTCAAGGATATAAGGAGAAAAGGCAAGTGTCTCTGCTTTTACCTTCCTACTCTGTCCTTTACCAGTTCTCTAAGTAATGGCCTGTGGTGGATTTAGGAACTGCATCTCCTCCCACAGGGGAATCAGAGACAGAGGGGAAAATATAGTCAATTTTAACCATAATCTTTTATTTTTCAAAATATAAAACCACAAGTTATAAAAATGAACGAGACACTAACTAGATCTCTGGGTAGTTGTCTGACTGAAATGATAATGAAGTAAACTTTGCTTTCTTGTTATCTGACATAATATATTAGCTTTGAGGATAACATGGTTTTTTCCAAGTTGTTCAGTCCATATAACTATACTGTTTTCTACACTGCTCTACTTTTAATTTAAAATTCTGTCCCTGTTTACTACACTGCTCTATTTTTAATTTAAAATTCTGTCCCATGTTCAATCATACATTAAGCAAAATCTATGAAATTGCAAGTGAGAGGTTGGAATTTACTTTGAATTTCTTCCCTCTTTCCATTTATTTATTGTTTCACTTATGATTCAGACTAACTTTAGTAAAATATTGTCTGAGCCTTATTAATATGGTTATAATTATTCTGGAGCAAAGGATTGAAAAAAATCTATCATTAATACATTATCGAAGGTCATCCAGATGGCTAACATACACATGAAGAGATGCTCAACATCACTCATTATCAAGGAAATACATATCAAAGCTACAATGAGATATCACCTCACACTTATCAGAATGATTAAAATGAACAACATAGGGAACAACAGATGTTGGTGAGGATGTGGTGAAAGGGGAACCCTCTTACACTGTTGGTAGCAAGGTAAACTGGTGCAGCCACTCTGGAAAACAGTATGGAGATTCCTCAGAAAGTTAAAAATAGAACTACCCTATGGCCTAGTAATTGCACTACTAGGTATTTATCCAAAGGATACAAAAATACTGATTTGAAGGGGGACATGCACCTCAATGTTTATAGCAGCATTATCAACAATAGCCAAATTATGGAAAGAGCCCAAATGTCCATCAACTGATGGATAAACTCATGGATAAAGAAGATGTATATATATACAATGGGATATTACTCAACCATAAAAAGAATGAAATCTTTTCATTTGCAACGATGTGGATGGAACTAGAGTATTATGCTAGGTGAAATAAGTCAGTCAGAAAATGACAAATACCATATGATTTCACTTACATGTGGAATTTAAGAAACAAAACAGATATACACAGGGAAAGAAAAAAATAACAGGAGGCAAACCATAAAAGAGACTCTCAAGTATAGAGAACAAACTGCCGTTGCTGGAAGGGAGGTTGCCCGGGGTGATGGGCTAAATGAGTGACAGGTAGTAAGGAGGGCATTTATTGTGATGAGAATGAGGTGTTACATGTTAAATGATGAATCACTAAATTCTACTCCTGAAGCTAGTATTACAGTGCATGTTAACTACTAGAATTTAAATAAAAACTTGAAACATTGAAAAAAGACATTATCAAAGGAACTTTCTCTACAAATCCTCAAAATTATTTTATTTATTTATTTATTTATTTGCTTGTTTTTATTTATTTTTGAGAGAGCACAAGCAGGGGAGGGGCAGAAAGAGGGGGGTCAGAGGAGCCGAAGTGGGTTCTGTGCTGACAGCAGCAAGCCTAATGTAGGGCTGGAACTCACAAACCATGAGATCATGACCTGAGCCAAAGTTAGACGCTTAACTGACTGAGCCACCCATGTGCCCCAATCCTCAAAATTATTTAAAAACAAGAATGTAAAGAAATCTGTCTTGTAATATCTCATTAGGTATTATATGCTACACACTACCCTAAATTAAAAATACTAAGCTCAGGGGCGCCTGGGTGGTTCAGTCAGTGACTGACTTCGGCTCAGGTCATGATCTTGCCCTTCATGAGTTCAAGCCCTGTGTTGGGCTCTGTGCTGACAGCCCAGAGCCTAGAGCCTGCTTCAGATTCTGTGTCTCCCTCTATCTTGGCCCCTCCCCCACTCATACTCTGTCTCTCTCTTAAAAGTAAACAATCATTTAAAAAATTTTTAAAAAATACTAAGCTCAAATTTTTAAATAATCATAGCCTAATCCAATATTACATTAATTACAGATAAGTTAAATATGTATGTGTGTGTATGTATATATATATATACATACACACAAAGTTAATAAAAAGGGTAGGGATGATTGCCAATTCAAGCATCAAAAATCAAACTGAATTGAGTGAAAATAAATCAGTAAAAAAAAGGGAACAAATGAACTACTATAAATAAATATGTTTTATTTGCTTGATAATGGTTTAGTAATAAGAAACAAGTGTTTAACATCTATGATTTTTCACAAGTTTGCTACATTGATAAAAATATATTCTTTAAAAAGGAACAACTCAGTTTTAAGAAGCTAAACATACCCCACAAAGAACCACAGCAGATCTCAGAAGTGAATTCCTTTTCATACATGTGGATTAGTGGTTTTTTACATGCAGGAGACACATATAGTGGGTTAACGTTGACTTCAGATGGTGGCTTAGGTGATTTCTCAGGTGCTTCCACTAACCCAGCATACACTGTGAAAAGTAAAGGTAAGATATTCAGAGAAATTACTAGTGTACACGCCAAATATGCTTGAATGTTTCCACAAATAAGACACAGCATAGAAAAGCTTCTTTTCCTTTATTGTATTTTGTTTATCCAGGATTTATCATTTCTGTAACTCCTAAACCATCAGATAACACAAATCATGATAGTTAAAGTACTTTTCTGAATATGAATGTATTTCAAATTACCACAATTAGATTGCCAAAAAATAATAAACCCAGATGAGGTACTCGATTACTTATTTGTAGTTTTTTTTTTCAATGTTTATTTATTTTTGAGAGAGAGGGAGACACAGAATCCGAAGCAGGCTCCAGGCTCTGATCTATCAGCACAGAGCCTGACACAGGGCTTGAACCCATGAACTGTGAGATCATGACCTGAGCTGAAGTCAGATTAACCGACTGAGACACTCAGGTGCCCCATACGTACTTGTAGTTCAAATTTAGGTGCCATAAAGACTCAGTGAAGAATATATTTTTTAAAGCATATATTCATCCGAATTTATGTTAACTGAATATAAGAATGATTTCATTCTTTTCGGATCATGAACCGATGAACCAGTGGTCAAACACTACAATGTGTGAACAGACTGCAACATTTGGAGATTATATTAACATACTTACAGATGGCACTGGCAAAGTCAGCATTTGCAGTCCTCCCAGAACTATTAGAAGGAGATGAGTGGCTGGCAAAAAAACCTGATTGTGTTGACGCTTCCAATATATCCATGCTGTCATTCTTGTCATCAGGTGCTGCTGGTGCAGCATCTGAGGCAATGGCATTTGAGGCCTCACTTCTACCACCTGGCTCCTAAAAGAAGATCAAAAACCAATTTTGACTTTATTCAGAGATTAACTGTGAAAGAAATATAATATGCCTAGAGGTCATTTGGAAAAGAGAATGCAAAATTTGTAGCATTTATAATTCCATGCCCTTTTATTTTTTTAAACATTTTTAATGTTCATTTATTTTTTGAGAGCAAGAGAGACAGAGCGGGAGTGGGGGAGGGGCAGAGAGAGAGGGAGACACAGAATCTGAAAGAGGCTCCAGGCTCTGAGTTGTCAGCACAGAGCCTGATGTGGGGCTCGAACCCACATACAGTGAGATCGTGACCTGAGCCCAGTCGGCAGCTTAACTGACTGAGCCACCCAGGCGCCCCTATCCTTTTAAAACCTACATTTCTCAGAAGAACTCAACAATCTCATCCATTGAGACAATTGATGTCAGAGGAAAAATTAAATGAACTTGAAATCCCTAGCTGTGAAATTTGGGGCCTAATATTTGTGGAATTTTATTATATACTAAGTACACTGTTAGTTATTTTACTTACATATTATTGTGAATCCTTATATCAACCCAAAAAGTAAGTATAATTATCTTCAGTTTACTTACAAGGAAACAAACGCTTATGAAACTTAAATAATTTATTCAAAGTCATAGAGGTAAGTAGGAGGGCCAGAGTTTGAAGCCAAAGTTTGATTTTAAAACTTATGTTCAGCTATGCCATGCTAAACAGCCACTTGAAAAAATAAAAAAGTCACCAGAGTTGGGGGTATCAATTCTGTTTTGTCTTATGACAAAGCTAATGATGGAATATCAACCAACACAAATTCTAGGGTGAACATGCCACACTGAAAATCTGGTTGGTTTCCATCAACTTACGTAGAAGAAACTCAAGGATAAAAGCCACAAAATGGACAGAATGTATGTGGGGAGCCATGTCCTGTGCAAAACATACCAACTGTTTTTGGTAAGCCTTTCTATTGATAAGCAGTTCTTTGCATCTAAACAGTGATTCTTGGCATTGAGAGAGCTGTACTGCCCTGTCAAAGACTTGTTTTTATGACCTTTCCAGCAACAAAAGTATTGTATGGCAACATGTCTTTTTTAAATTAAAATGAAAAGAATACCCATTCGTTCTGTAAATGTCAAAAACTGTTCCCTGTGATAGAGATACCCAGGGGTGCTAAGAAAACAAAACTGATAGGGTATCCTGTTTTAACGTCTTTAATTTAGATAGACAAGTAGGGAGGGGGTGGAAGAGAGAGACAGAGAGAGAGAGAGAGAGAGAGAGAGAGAGAGAGAGAGAGTCTTTCCCACTGCTTTCCCATTGGAAACTATCTAGGGAATTTTCTTCCTTCCTCAATTTCTTCTGTAATTATTGTGTCTATCTATCATAGACCAACTCCTAGTTTGGACCCTGGGATTGGGTGAGTTGACAGAGAAAAGTAATTGAGGATGGATTAAACATAGCTTCTGCCTTTTAAGAGTTCACAATCTAGTATGGCAGAAAAGCAAGTAAACAACCAAATACAATGTCACAAGTACTAAAATTAAACTATAGGCAAAACGCTTGCAAGCACACAGGGAGGGGTATATAATTCCATCCTGAACAGTCAAAGATAATATATAAGTTGGATCATGAGGATGACTAATTACCCAAGCAGAGAAGAGGTGAGGGGGCAGCCTTACAGACAGAGGGAACAGTTTGCACAAGGGCACTAATTCATGAAAGAGCATGGCATCTTGTAAGCCAGTTTGTGAGATAGGACAACAGTCTGGGAAAGTAAATTGGCATGATCTTCCCTCTGTCTGGAATATCACCTGTGTTTTCAGATATCTAAGAACTTCCTGTTTGTCAAGAATTAGTTCAAATACCACATGCTCCAGGAAATCTTCTCTGTGATCATTCCTATTGATCTGGCATTTGTGAAGCTATTTGACTATTTTTAAAACTATTTATAAAGTTAGTAATGTTTTGTGAATGATAAAATCATTGTCTAAACACAATACATTACTTCTATTTAAATAGTATGTGTTAATAGTTCCTCAAAAAGTTAAAATAGAATATAGCAATTCCACTCTAGCAATTCTACATCTAGGAATTCCACTCCAAATAATTGAAATAATCAAAAACAGGCACCCCAATAACATATGGTTGTACACCAGTATTCATAGCAGCACTGTTCATGATAGCCAAAAGGTGAAAACAACCCAAGTGACCATCAACAGATGAATGGATAAACAAAATGTGATATATTCATGCAATGGAATATTATTCATTAAATGAATATTAAATGAATATTATTCATTAAAATATTATTCATTAAAATGAATTCATTAAAAATGAATGAATTCATTCATTAAAAATGAATAAAATTCTGATAAATGCTACAACATGGATAAACCTTAAAAATATTATGCTAAGTGAAATAAGCCAGATACAAAAGGACAAATATTGTGTGATCTGCTTATATAAGATACCTAGATAGAAAGTAGAATAGAAGTTATTGGGAACTGGTGGGAGGCATAATAGGGAGTTAACTGTTTTAATTGTTTGGGATGATGAAAAAATTGTAGAAATTAATAGTAATAATGGCTGTACAACATTGTGAATGTACTTAATGCCACTGAAATGTATACTTAAAATAGTTAACATAGATAATTGTATGTTATGTATATATTACCACAATGACAACTTCCCAGAAAAAAAAATGTATGTGTTAAGAGACACTATCCAAAATGTGTGATCTGAGTAATAAAAGCAAACAAAAAATACATTTTTGTCCCTAGAAGTAAATAGAAACCATACAAATGAGAAGTAAAGATCTACCTATAGCTATAATTTAAAATGTTTAAGCCTTTGGGATGGAAGTTAAAAATATATGAAATGGCTGGAAATGTGAAATATCACATGAAAAAACACATTTACAAGGTGAGGAATTCATTCTCCTTTTCAAATGGTGTATTACCTCCTGTTGATGTTCAAAGTCCTGGGATGTCAGTCTCTCCAATCCTTGACCATCTGTCTCTGCTGTCTCTGAGTAATTTTCTCCTTCACTGAGTTCAAAGGCTCCACTTTCTTCATTGGTTCCACTGACTCCCTTACCTCCATTTACCTTGACTTTTCTTCCATTGCCTATATTGGCTCCATGTTCTTCATGGTCTCCAATGGCCGCACTGCCCCCACTGGCTACACTTCCTCCATGGCTTCTACTGACTCTCTGACTGCCATAGCTGTTGCATGTCCCTTCTCCACCATCATTTCCATCTCTACCATCTTGCTTGTAGCTTCCATCGCCATAGCTTGGTCTGATAACAAGATCCAATTAATGATAGCCACCGAACACAAACACATTTGAAAGTCAGCAAATAAAACAGAATTCAGATGTGTCTGATACATATGTACCACCTCTAGGAACATTTTTGTTCTATGTGAACACTACCGGTATGATATGGGCAAGAAAAATACCCCTATATCCTGTCAATCTTAAATACTGAATTAATACCATAACCTCCACCAATTCCTCAATTGCATGTGGATGGCAGATGGAAGAGAACTTGCATCCTTTATTAGGAACATGTGTTAGGTTAGCAGCATGAATATGTTTTTTTTTTTTTGCTTAAATAATAGACTACATGCATTAGCAACTTCACAACCACATAAATGATCAAACCCATATTTTTGGCACAACCACAACATCGAATAATTCTTCTTGCAATATATTTAATTTCTGTTGATTTTAATATATGCCTCAATTTTCTAACATGTGTATTGACTACTTTGCTACAGAATCCCATTGATTTTTTCTATTACCACCACCAGGAAATAAGTAATATAGATTTCATTAAGCGAGAGAGTCATTTAATTAGTTGCCAAGAACACCAAGCTTAACAAAATGTCTCAATGATTTTTTTTTAAGACACAACATAAACATATACCTATGATAATTCTGAAAGCAAATTTATTTTTTTAATGTTTATCTTTTAGAGAGAGAGAGGCAGAGTGTGAGTGGGAGAAGGGGCAGAGAGAGAGGGAGACAGAATCTGAAGCAGGTTCCAGGCTCTGAGCTCTCAGCACAGAGCTCAATGCTAGCCTTGAACTTAACGAACCGCGAGATCATGACCTGAGCCGAAGTCAGCACTTAACCGACTGAGCCACTTAGGCACCCCCAAAAGCAAATTTATTTGAGAATGGAATTCCTGGTAGATTTTTTAGTTGGCAAAAAAGAAAAAAAAACTATTGAATGATCTGTGGTCTGTTCTGCCATGTATATCCACCAATAACATTTGAATATTAACCAAACAATATATGAATTTCAATATTATAAAGCAAACAATTCTCCCACTGATAATTTTTCTAAAAATGTAAACATTTACTATATTAAGTAATCTTCTTCGAGAGCAGTTTAAACACAAACCATGAGCATATGTAAATAAGAACACACTGGCCTGTTTTGAGCAGGAGAAAGGAACTATATATATAGCAAACAACTAGTGGCATGCCAAAAACATCACTTCACTAAATATTACCACTTTTGGCAGCTGCTCTATAAGAAGATAAAATTGAATGAGTACTGAATTTAGTTACAGCAGTTTGCAGAATTCCAAGAATAATGCCATGTTAGTAAGTTTCAGCCTAAAATTATCAGGTGAAAGTCAAGTTTGCAATTCATTGTTCTCAGCAAATTTGGAGATTTTGTTTGCAATATCAGGGCTTCATCACACAGTTATTACGTAGCACACTATTTGTTACCCCATTTCATATACTCACTGTGGTTTTACAGCATAAGATGACTCAGTAGCACTAATTTTAACAGAAACATTAACAATTCCAGTTATAAGGAACATAATACTTGAATACTAATAAAATATACCATATAAAAATGCAAAATGAAGTGTTTTGCATCAAAAAAATTTAAATATATTATTGAAAAATGAACCATTTACTAATATACAAGTGCAATTAATTCACCCTTTTGGTAATAAAATTTGAAAGTAAAACAAACATGCAAATAATTGAAACATTCTAAAATACTGGTAGTACAAGTAATCCAGAAAAACCAACCTTGGCCAACACGGAGCATCATCATGATTATTGTCTTTGTCATCAATAGCTTCATCATTGTCATTATCATCATGGTCTTCACCAATATCATTAACCTGACCAACCTGGTTATCCAAGCCATCATTGCCATTGTCATGGTCATAGGTATCTTCATAAGCATCATTAGAATCATCATCATCACCATAAGTATCAGCACCAGTATCATAGAGTTCAACATAATCACCATCCTCTTCAGGTGGCTGAATGACAGGTGCAGGAGTTAACCAATCATTCCGGAAGATTTCAGAGAGTGCATTAGAGCCTACCCATTCATTTGTCAAGTAAACAGGGGGTGATATTTTTCCTACTTTAAATCCATCTGGAACCTGTGTGCACAAGAAAGGTTAATGCAATCTCTAGTAGACTTTTATTTTCTTCTAGATTGGAAAGTTTCCAAGCTGGCAATATTTTAAAATATATTTTCAATTGAAATGAAGATATGTATTTACAAGATAAAGCCAGCATTTTTTTAAGATTGAATGCCAAAACCCAAACTTCAGGCTATGATCATTAATGGCCTTTCTGGATCACAAAGAGAAAAATTTATTCACCTTGTTTTTTATTGCCCCTACTTTTCTGCTGAGGAATAGACATTTGGTTTTGGTGATAGAAAGTAAAACAGATTATTTGATGCTCTATAGAGGGTATACTCATTTTGTCCCTTTCATTTTATCCTCTGATATTAGGATTAAAACATAGCTCTTAAAATTGATACTTAATTTCCTAGCTCTAGTTTTGTACATAGGTTGTCTTAAAGTAACTCAAACACTTCTAAGAACCAAATTAATATAAATGCACCTTTAAGTATGGTGTCATATAAGCAATCTTTAGGCAATCTGAAAGAGATGTGTATGTGGAGGGTAGGGATAATTACAAAAGTAAAATGGAGTGACCTGAAAGCACACTGTGGAAACAACTGGCAGACTATTGCTTATGCTGTCAGAGGGCATTTTATTTTTCTCCAAATGTGTTATTTTTATGTATTACCTCATAATCCAAGAAATTATATTAGCTAAAAGTGAACATCTAGCTTTTACTCCTTGATTTGAGATTAGCTTCTACAAAGACCTTTCTATCCCTCCTATCTGAACATGTTCTGACAAAAGCATGTGAATATAAAATATTTTATGATCAGTTTAAAGTTTCTCCATTTCAAGCTTAATTTCTAGATTTCATATTCTGCATACTCACATAGCAATGGAAATCTATCTTTGAAATACTAATTAAAAAAAAACACTTTGGCCTTTCCCTCAAGTGAAGATGAAAATATGCAGGTCTAAAGAAGTTTTTTAAGAAACAGATAAATGTGTTAAGAGTTAAGATGGCAACCTACATGAACATCAACCAGCAACTTCTGATCAATAGTAGAATAAGGCGGTGATGACTGGGACCTCCTCCAGGTTACAGGACTCTCTTCCTCAGAAGAAGATTCTGTAGAATGCCAAAAAGACATTAGTAAGTGATGACCACAACCATTGCGTTCATTTTTATAGTGTACCATTTCAATACCTTGGTATGTTTCTTGTAGCTTCTTTCCATTCAGGAAATACCACCTAATAAATTATCATGGGGCCAAGATCCTATATTTCTGTTTTCAGGAGTAATGGCAGGCTCAAGGTTTGTTCTGTCGTAGATCTATATGGCTTTTCTGTTTTCAATATTAAGTGTACACTTGCTAAATATTTCTGTGTGAGAAGGTATCCAGTAAGACTGGTAGACAAATAGTTTCATTTAAAAAATAGTATGTATCTAGGATAGGAAGAGCTAGGTGGTATCACTGGCCTACCATACTAACTAGTAGAAAAAGAGCTCAACAGTGCATTAGAAGATGACAGATTAGACAACATTTTCAAGAGGAGAGTTGACCCTGCAATCTTAATCCCCCAATTTCCACTCAGTGATATATCTTGAAGTATTTCAATACAGTTGAAAAGTGAACAACTGAAAAGAGACAAAACCTAATGCTTTTTATAAAGCTGGGAATCTTTCTATAGCGATGTTGTGCACTAGAATTTTCTGCAGTGATAGAAATGTTCTGTATCTGCATTGTCTAATACAGTACTAGTAGCTGCACATGGCTATTGAGCATTTGCAATATTGCCAGTGTGCCTGAGGGGTTGGCATTTTAATTTTAGTTTTAATTTTAAAAGCCATATGTGGCTCTTGCTATCACAATGCACAGCTGAATTCTATAGTGTAAATATTGCCATTTAAAATGCAAATTTAGGGGTGCCTGGCTGGCTCAGTCCATAGAGTTTGCAACTCCTGGTCTCCAAGGTGGAAGTTCAAGCCCCTTGTTGGGTGTAGAGCTTACTTAAAAATACAAAAAAAAAAATCTTTAAAAATGCAAATTTACCTGGATTCGAAGTCTGGAGTTTTGACATTAAGATTTATGGTATAGTAAATAGCACCTGTGGTTAAAATCCAGTGAGAATATTTAGGCTCAAAAATCAGTAGATCTGGCTGAGTATCCCCAGAAAAAGTTTCACTAAGGGGGCACTTATGTCCCTGCTTATTGTTTTAGTGTGCTTGGACATTGAAGATAAACAGTACTATCCCTTTTTTTATTTGCAATATTGCTATTTATAGCTATGGTATAGACACCACAACTCCAAAAATCATGTATTTGCAAACACTTCTATGTTTTGAATATATTATCCAGAATGCACTCTACAATTTATGTCTGTATCTTGTGGCATAGTACTTTTGCAATTTATTATCTTTCTTCAGGAAACTTTTTTTTTCTCAAGTCTCTGGGTATGTTGTTAGGCTAAATAAGAAATTTGGGTGAGTGTTTGAGATTTTGAGGCAAATTTGTGGTAAGCTGCTCTGATTTCCTGCATAGTAAACTTTGTAATCTAGGTCTAAGTAGCACACACAATAAAATAATAGAATTTTAGAGTCGAAAAGAACTTCAGCTATTACCTACACAGATGCTATCCACTTCTCCCCCTTACCAATGTTCATATAATTTCTTTATTTAAGAAAAGGCAATATAAATAAACCTTAAAATTTTAGGTGTTTTCCCAGTATTAGCAAAATTAGTCCTAGTCAAACCAGAAAGATTCTGAGAAAAATATTCTTAAAGTTACTTTTCATGCAAGCTTATTTTCTCACAAGATAATATTTCTGTATGAGAGGACACTACTATTTAAAGAATTCTACCATTATCTGAGTCTCCTAAGAAGAATGGGGTTTTTAAGTTCAGGCCTTCAAAATATTTGATTTTTATACAGTACACTTATATGCCTTTTTTTGTTATTAACATTTTAATAAAATCTGTGTTCTACGTTTTTAAAGATGACTTGAGGACTCGGTCAGGCATTTTGCCCTTGCTAAATTTACTTAGGTTGGTTAAAAGTACATAGTGCCAGATTTTATAATCTAAGACATAAGGTTTAGCTTTATCTCAATATTTCACAAATCTATAATTCATTTAAACTCTCAAAAGCATATCCTAAGATAAAATACTTGTTTGAAATTATTATCACAAATTGTGAAGTGATTTTGTATGATTTTATTAAGTTTTCATGTGTTTTGAGTAAAAACATCAATTTGTAAGAGTTAGGGATGTTTATGAGATACTATATGTATTTTACTTTGGGGTGTTGAAATAACAAATTGATAAATAAAACACATGCCTAAAACTACTCCACTTAATATTTCAATATTTTAAAGATTGCTTATACATTTTAGCCTGTTAAAACGGTCTCTCCCAAGTTCCTTTCCCATATTTTTCACAGATGGTACAGAAACTAAAGTTGACATCTCCCACCTCCCCAGACACATTCCTAACTACTACCCAACTTAAAGAGAAAAATAAACTTCAGAAAAACTACTTTCCATTTCTCAAAGGTCACCCATGACCACCCAATTGCCAAATCCAATGGCCTTCTGGTCTTAATTCTACTTGGCTTCCTTAACACTTTTGATTCATTTCTTCTTGAAATTCTTTCTTAACTTCTGCAATACAGACTGTTAAATATTAGGTCCCATGTTTTGACTGTTCAAACTTTGTGCTTTGAATCACCTGATACTGCTGGGCAATTTTGAGGATTTTGTGAACTCCTTTGTCTGATGTCAATGGGCTTCTGAGCTTGTTCCAAAACAGACCGCTGAGGAACACTAAATGAAAAGACAGAAAAGCATGTGCCATGTCCTAATATTCATAAAGGGAATATACAGCTCAACATCAATACCAACAAAAATTTTTAACTATATGAGTATATATCAAACTAAAATAAGTAGAGCTGAAGTAAAATTTTCAAATTTCCATTTTCCCCCAAATGTGCTATTTTATCTAGAACAGAGAAACAATTTCCAAAATACAAATAAAATGTTTCCATATAGTATATGTTTCCTTTACATATCGTATTTAATTTCAAAAAATTCAATAAACTTTCTTTAAGGTAATATTTAGATATTATTATATACCTAGTAACACAGTGATAAACATAACTTAATATGTATGCGTTGATTTTAACAAGATAAAAACTTATTGTCATGTCAAATATTCCACTGTGATCATCCTGATTTTAAAAGCTTGATGTTTGCGCTTTTTAATGTCCTGGTTTAGATTTAATGTTCCTGATTTAGCTAAATGAATGGACATACAAATAGGACACTAGTTTTTAACATTCAAATTCAGGGAATATTCAGAAAGCTTTTTCGGACTGGTGCTGCTAAATTTTATAGTTGCTTTGGAATTTCCATATAGGAAGGACTTTGGTTATTGATCTAGGCCTAGAACATACTAGAGTCTTTTCTATGACCCCAAATTTCAGGAAAGACTCAAGTTTTACTTAAATTAAGTTTATAAATTTAAGATAAACCCGGGTGTCTCAGTGGGTTGAGCATCTGACTCTTGGTTTCGGCTCAGGTCATGATCTCACCTTTTGTGGGTTCGAGCCCCACCTCAGGCTCTTTGCTGACAGTGCAGAGCCTGCTTGGGCTCCTCTCTCTCTCTCTCTCTCTCTCTCTCTGCCCCTCCCACGCTCGTGCTCTTTCTCTCAAAAAATAAATAAACTTAAAAATTAATTAATTACTTTTAGAAATTTAATCATATTTAAAGTTAATATATTTGCTATTCATAAATTCAACAATCCCTTTAAAATGTGAACAGCCAATTGTAGTTTAACAGAAATATTACTTTTTATATGTTGGATTTTATTAAAGATATATCCCATGATACCAAAAAAAGATACATAAAATTAAACAGGTTTCTCCCTTTGCGGTCAGAAGGACCATGACAACTCATTTACTGAATGTAGAGAAAGCAAAAATTCCTAATCTTGCTTTCCAATTTTCCAAGATTTCTGCATATAAGTTAAATCTAAGTACCTAAATCTTCATATAAGTTAAATCTAAGTACAGAAATATATGGGGTTTTAAGTAATAATGAAGTAGGAATATACATACTACATAACATCAACAGTATGCAATCTGTCCATACTGTCCAGTGTCTTGAATATAGTAGGTGCTCAATAAATATTTAGTGAAAGATTGAGTGAATGAATATAGGCTAAGATCTCTCCATCATAATCTGGAGTTGAAGGGGGTATAATTTTTAAGGAAAATCTACCTTAAAATTTAGTTTTTAGATATAACACAAAGCACAAACATCTAAAATATGAAACACGATCTTTGAAAATCACTGAAGATCACCAATATTACAGAGATAAAAGGTACAGTGACTGTTATAAAATATCATTGATATAATATTGAGATTTAGATTTGATTTTTCCCTTAGGTCATTTCAGGCTTGTCCATTCCATGGCATTAGCTTCTGAGGTTAGGAATTCTGTGAGTGTTTTAATGTGTAGTACATGTACATGAGATTCATGACGTACTACATGATAAAATGTTTAATCAAAGTACATGATACACGTGAAACTTCACATCTTTTTATTATAAAATACTAATTGAAAGCTGTCCAAGAATTCATTGATTTTTTAAATTAAATTGTGGATTTTACCAGCAAATTATAAAACTAAATGACACAGAGACTGCAGTATATCCAAATGTAAAAGATCTAGTTAATGGATTGCTGCAGTTAAGGTTTTAAATGTAGGCCAACAATATCATTTATGATGATGCTGTCATTAATATTTTAGTTTTGACTTTACACAAAACTTAGTGTCAAATAAATAAATACCTTTTAATTTTCCATGTAGTACTAAGTTATGAGCAATTTGAATATAGAAATTAGAGACACATACCTTGAAGAGAACTTGACATAGTGTGCACAATCTTGATTGTAAGGCACTGAAGTAGATCTCTCTTGGACCTTAAAGACACAGGGAAATACTTTGGTAAAAATTTTTATCATAAATTCTTTTCAGTTATTAATCTATGGATGAAGACTCCTTTCTTCATATAGAGATATTTTCCTAAAAATACAACATATAAAATCCGATTTTCATAAATAGATTGTATTTTCCTAATTTTAGTATAAGTTTATAGCTGCTTAACCATAATTTCTGATGGTATCCTTGAATTTTAGTATAATAACAGATTCTGGACATTATATAATCAAACACTTTAATTTTTGTATTGAATAATCTGTGCCCCAGAGAGGAAAATAACTTTTCTAAGAATTTACATCAAGTTAAAGGATATCTATAATCAGAATATAGGTCTCACAACTGCTAATTTAATGTTCTATATTTTCATATTACTTTTTATATCAAGTCCAAATTTCTCACTCAGAATTTAAGCTCAAACTTCTCACCCACTGACCCTTTTAAACTAACCCTAGATTTTCAAAAGCTGTAACACACACACACTACATCATTAAAATCTCTTGAGTCAAAACTGTCCCACCTTTAAGAAAGTATGTTTTTTTTTTCACTTTACAATTTGACTATATTATGACAATCAGTTTTCCAAATACTTTTTCAATTCTAAATGAATTAGTTTGGTTTCTATTAATTATTCCTTCATCTAATGCAGCAAAATGCTTGAGAAAAGAGCACATATATCAGCATCCATCAGTGGGGCACATTATTTTCTGCTAACATTAGTAGATAGGACCATGTAGTGTTGCCTTGCCTCATTTAGTTTTATATCATTAGGTTTCTACTTAAAATACTTTTTAACTAACCAAAACAAATAGGTTATTCTGGCATTCAACAAGGTAGTCACACTAGATTCTTTAGAAAGAAAAATTAAACATGTTACATTTTTTTAAAACTCTAGCATTTTCATGCTCATAAAGTCATTCTATAGGTTCTAGAAACGTGACTTATCAAGGTTGTGATCGATAAGAAATGAAAAATGTTGTTAATTGTTCACCTGTTTGGTAATGTGTATTTCCAAATGTAACCACATGTTTAGTAGTATTGGATAATAAGCATCTTTTTCCATATTTGATTCACATGCCCTGGCATTATATTGACCCAGACTAGGTCTCCCTGGTTCATTAAACTGATCTCAGAAAGTTTATTGACACTAGTAAACCAGAGGCCAGGATTCCTCAGAAAAGATAAAGGCCAAAAATAAGAAAAACTAATGCCTAATAAGAATTGGCTTGTTGAATTTTGAGGAATTTGGTCCCAAAAAGGAGAAGATGATTAGTAAGAATAGTTATGTATGAGACAAGTGATGTATTCCAAACCAGTCAGGTATAACTCATTATATTTCCTGTTTAAAGAGGCATGCTTCATACAGAGAAAGACAGATACCATATGGTTTCACTCTTATGTGGATCCTGAGAAACTTAACAGGAACCCATGGGGGAGGGGAAGGAAAAAAAAAAAGAGGTTAGAGTGGGAGAGAGCCAAAGCATAAGAGACTGTTGAGAACTGAGAACAAACTAAGGGTTGATGGGGGGTGGGAGGGAGGAGAGGGTGGGTGATGGGTATTGAGGAGGGCACCTTTTGGGATGAGCACTGGGTGTTGCATGGAAACCAATTTGACAATAAATTTCATATATATAAAAAAAAAAAAGAGGCATGCTTAAGGTAATAATTATCTGAGAGTAGGAGTAAAGTCATAATTTCATAAGGCAGAGAGGGAGACATAAGGCCTTTTGTAATTAAATAATACAATCAGTTTATGTTCCTTCTGCCAGTGGTTAGTATTTATAAAGTAATATTCTGTTATTCACTCCAGAGGACTGTTAGTATCAGAAGTAACATATTTAAAAAGAATAATTGTCCATGAAAGATATCACTGTGAAGCATCTAGAAGGAAGAAATAGAGTGATCTGGGACCCTTGTGCTGATTAAGAACAATGAGACTTCTGACTCACTATTAATAAGGCAAGAATTTGAGTTCTTTAGTCAGCCACCTGATTCATCCTTAGTGATCAAGAAATTTTTAGATGACTAGCTGTTATGAATGCTAGCTATGATGATAATATCTTGTCCTTATGGGAACTGAAACTGCAACTTGGGCTTCACCAATACCCTATGCTAAATGCTGTTAATACAGTCGTGAAAACAGAATCATCCTGGCTATGAGGACTGACTTGATTATTCCTATAAGTGTAAGAAAATAAACCACAGATTAAATGATCCAGATGCTGTCATAAACAGAACAGAGACAATGAACGGAAAAGGTATGTGTGATTGTGTTATAAGCTTAACTACCCAAGTTTTTTATGAGCAATGTTTTTACTTAAAAGAATGACAAGACAACTATGATTATTCAACTTGGGCATTTGGCAGGCATTTTATTTAAAATCAGTGAAGTTAGCCAGTCAATTCAAGGAAAAAACAACTGATGTTATTTGTTAGTAGTGATAAAATGGAGCTTTGAAGTAAAAATTTAAATTTTAAATTTATTATCTGTCACCATGCACTTGGCAGCTTATCAATAATCATTTTTCTGATGAAATTGGTGATATTAATAGATGCTGTTTATTGATGTTGTATAATGAAATGTGTAAATATTTGGAAAGATCTACATACACATTGAAATAATATTTTCCAACTGACCAATGTATTAAGATACAAAATTGTGCATGAGTAAAACATCTATTCATAGCAAATAATAGAACAATAGATTTTAATATTTATGAATATGCAAAATTTCACTGATAAGGTTTTAAGTTCCAGTTCCCTAGCTTTAGTGTATTATCAAAGAATATCCACAATTATCTGAAAAAGCTATGAAGATTCTCTCTTCCCAATTCCTTATATGTGAGAAGCCAGCTTTTACTCATATAATTCATTTAGCATATACTAAATATATGGTAACAAATGGGATGCAGAGCACATATGAGAATCCAGTTGTTTTCCATTAAGCAAAATGGAAAATAGTTATTGTTTATTAAAAATTATTTCTTATGTTGACATATAATACTTTTAAATGAATTAGTAAATATTTTATTTTTTGTTTTAATTTCTAATACATTAAATATTGGATGACACAATCCACATAAACAAAAGTTTTTGGGGGGTCTTCAGTGTTTAAGAGTATAAAGCATCCCTGAGACCAAAAAGTTTAAGAACCACTGTTTTAGGCACTTAATGTCACGGCAACTCATACTGAGAAACTTACTTCATTTCCTTTAGGATTTGGAACATATGGCTGCAATGGTTCTATTTGAACTTCAGCCTGAATTGAATGAAATACTTCATCATTGTCTGATGATTCATCTTCTTTGTCCTTTGAAACAGAAAGGAAAATAAATATTTTAATTGTTGTTAAAATACAAATAATATGAGTAATTCTATCATCCCAATGTACAATTTAAAATAATAATTTTCAAATATTAAAATTGATTTAAACCATAAGATTCTAATAGTTTGTGGTTCTGGATTCCCTTTAGAATCTGAGGAGATTCTAGGGTTGCCTGGGTGGCTCAGTCGGTTGACTTTCCAACTTCGGCTCTCATGGCTGTGCTCATGAGTTCAAGCCCTGCATCGGGCTCTGTGCTGACAGCTCAGAATGTGTAGCCTGCTTCGGATTCTGTGTCTCCCTCTCTCTCTCTGCCACTCTCCCACTTGGACTCTGTCTCTGTCTCTCTGTCTCTCTCTCTCTCTCAAAAAAAAATTTAAAAATTAAAAAAAAAAAAAGAATCTGAGGAGATTCTAATTGCATATGGACGCAGATATCTGCATATATTTTCAGGGGGATCATTGACCACCTGCAGCTAATCTGTTAGACCCAGGTTAAGAATCTCCGGTCTAAAGCTTACCTCAAAATCTCAAACTGTCACTTTTAGTAAGCAGTTATAATTACAAACTTTGGTCCTCCTGTGCAATGGAAGATCTGAAATATAGCAGTGCAAATATTTCTCACTAATTGAGCTCTAGGAGTTTAAGAAAGTTTCTGTTTTCACACTTAAGCCAATCAATATTATTTCTTCAACTCAGAGTAATGAAAATTAGTTTTCTTTCCTTTGGCTAAAGAACTCACATACGTCTCTAAATGCTAACAAATTTTTAGGTAATTCAAAAGATCTATGACTTTGATTTAATATTAATTTTCTTTTCTTTTATATTTTTGTTAAGAATCACACATAAAGATATGAATGCCTGTACAAGATCCTAGGGTCATGGGATTGGTAACTATTATTTATTGACCTTTTCTTCCATGTTAGAATGGCTTCTCACATATATACTTAAAACACTGAATGACAATAAGTATGTGTCATGCTACCAATGCCATGGGTCTTGCATGAATGTATACAACTCTTTTTTATAAATGCAAAACCCGTTAATTCAGTTGTTACTAGCGCTCATTGATATTAGTCAATTAGGTCCTTTCTTTGCTTGTTGCTTCTACTTTTTCTCAAGTTAAACATGTTAGGGAAATAATATGTGTTTAATTGGCTCAATGAACATAAACCAAAAGACTCACTTATCCAGACATTCAGACAAGATACATTTGTAATTACTACATTAATTATTATCAGATAAATGGATTTTGACACCAGGGTTTAATTTAGGATTCCTTTATGTAAATGGTTGTTGTGAAGTATTAGAAAACAACTGCTCTCCTAATCTTGCTGACCTCATTAATTTGCTTATAAAGACCACAAAATCCTTCACTGTCAGATTAGATCTGCCAAATTGAATTCAGCAACTCCAGCCAAATTATTTTAGAGGATTTGAAAGAATGAAGTTTTGACTATTCCAAAATAAGCTAAAGATAGTAGCATACTGCATTTCAAAAGAGTGCAGAGATGAATTTGTAACTTATGTCATGTTCAATGCAGACACTTCATTAATTATGTAAAATAGTGGAACATTAGTGAGACAAGTCATATATATGGTAACTATATACAAAATATTTTGGAAACTGCTTTACTGTTTCATTTTAACCTTGATTTAAACATGCAAAATAAAAAAAATAGTATACTTCACTTAAATAGCAGAGTTCAGCATTCTATGGGGAAAAAGGCAAATTAACTTAGAGGTTAGAGGAGTAAAACCAAAGTTGTTCTTTTGTCTTTAATTTTAATGAGTTATATTTGAAATTTTGAGCTATGGCAATAATTTTTAAATATCCAAAATAGTAGTTTTAAAGGTCTATACAGTGTTCCTTTATTGGTTAAGGGAATAATAGGTAGAAAACTAATAATTAAAGCTATATCTCTACAAAGATATTAAACAATTACCTGGATTATTCAAGCAACTTTTTCTTTCTCAAATTTAGTCATAATTACCTGGAAATTTTAGGATAATTTATTTGAAGCACAAATTATTAAGTTAATTTTCTTTGGGACACAAGGAATATTTAACTCATTTGGTTTTACAGAGGGAAAACATGAGCATGGACTAGTATGTTTCTCTGCATATTTGATTCAGTAAAAATATCAGAAAGTCTTACATTTGCAACTTGTCTCAATTCTTCCTCGTGCTGATTAAAGATATCTTCCCATCTGCGCTGGCACCTTCTCCTGCAGGCTTCTAAATCTGAGATCTCAAACTCTTCAGGTCTCTGTGATAGCTTTGCCCGGAACTTCTTTGGTGATAGTCTTTTTGCCAATGCCTGCCTTAGACTAGAAACTTTTGATTTTTTCTTCCCTGCCTGTTCTGGTTGAGAGTAAAACATGTTTGAAGACAGACTTTCCATCAAGGTTTGCAGTGGACCAAGTGGCTTTGAGTTATGTGAGTTTGGTGCTCGAAGTAAGTCTCTTGATAGTCCCTCTATCAGTTCTTGAACTGAGCCAACTGCCTGTGGGGGCTCTAGTGCCCAGATGTGTGCCTGAGGTGACCCTTCAGTTTGCCCCTCTACTGGAATGAGCACTTGAGTATCCAAATGTAGTGGCAACAGCACATGGTGGTTCTGTGACAGTAGGGGCAGGAATACCTGGGCATGTACTCGTAATGACTCAGGTTCCTCTGCCTCAGTCTCTGCCTGTGTGGGCTCAACAGCCTGTTCCTGTACCTCTGGCTGTTCAGGTACCTGGTTCTGCTCCAGCTGTTGTTCAGGTAACTGGTTCTGCCCCCGGTGTTGTTCAGGGGCCTGACCCTGCCTTTGTTGTTGTTCTGGTACTTGATCTTGACCCTGAAATTCCTCTGGTACCTGGTCCAGATCCTGTGGCTCTTCTGATGCCTGGGGCTGGGCCTGAGCCTGCTGTTCTTTTGGTACCTGGGCTTGTAGCTGTAGAGGCCTAGGTGTCTTAACCTGAGCCTGTAGTGGCATGAGCATCCAGGCTGCCCTCCATAGTCTTGGAGGTGCCTTAACCTGCATCTGTAGGGGCCTAGATGCCTTCGCCTTAACCTGAGCCTGTAGTGGCTTAAACACACGAGCTGCCCCTTGTAGTCGCTGAGGTGCCTGGGCTTGCCCCTGTAGAAGCCTAGGTGCATTGTCCTGAGCTCGTAGTGGCATGAACACCCTGGCTGCTCCCTGTAGATGCTGAAGTGCCTGGACCTGTGGCTCTTCTCGATCAGGCAACCACCTTGGCTGAGAGGGTTCTCCATGCAGAACTCTAAGTGGTCTGCATCTACTGCTAGTTGGCAGTCTCAGAAGCTCATGAGTACAAGAAGGTCCTCTAGAAGGAAACACACAAATGATTGCTATATAGTAAGAACTGCCAGCGGAGTGAAGCCACTCAGGCTTCACTTTTTTTTTTATTTTTAAAAATGGACATTTTCTGCAATAAAGGTATTTTCAGTAAATCTTTCTTGAATCATTCCTATAATGTCTGAAGTATTCTTTGTATTACTAATATACTCAATATTAATTTTCTCATAAACTACTTTATCATTCTACTACCAGAAATGAAAGAATCTTTGAATAGTAATAAAAATTTTTCCTCAACATTTCCATTCAAATATGTTTTGAAAAAAAAAAAAGATCTGTTATTTGTTGTATCAGAAAGGATTACTCTTCTGAGTCAAATGCAACAGTACAGGATCAACTGTCTTACATAAATTGCTAACAACAAATTATATGCAATTTATCAAACACACCTGAATCTTCTCATGGTGTACTGCTCCTTAATAGCTTCTTCTCTTTCAAATATCAGAGGTATTCCTTTGTATAAAAAAAAATTATACATAAAAATCAGCAGAGATTAATGCAATTTACCCTAGTGAATTTTCACCATTTAATGCTCAGGATGTCAAGTAAATTTACAAGGACAAGAAAGTAACCCTTCAAATCACACCTGGTTGGTAATGTAGACAATATCCTAGTTCTTAGAACCACTTTTGCAGCACAGTGAAGCTATTCCATACAGATTAATTTCTCTGGGCACAGGAAAGGGAATTTAAAAATTTGGTTGCTGTAATTCTAAAGAGAAATAATTCAGAAAGGCAAAGGGAGAAAGGGACAAGAGGAACTCTAGATGGTTTCTGAGCATGGCCTCATGTGTGTGATGTAGATGCAAGAACTTTATGTCTTGGGCCCACATCTATCTTTGGTCCTTTCGATGAGGATCTTTAAAAATGAGGATCAGGATCTTTGGTCTGTTCAATGAGAAGGTGAAAATCTCAATTCTGGGTTTTACATTTACATTCAACATGTTCAGCTTCTTTCATTTCAGCTGTGCTGTACCAAAATAGAGAAGCTTACAAACAAGAGATTTCTTTTGAATTTCCTATATAAAAGTGTTTAGGATAACTATATTTATATCTAAGCAATTCCCACATAAATGTGGCTTTTTCTGCAGGTAACATTCTGGAAATCTTGCAGCTCTGGAAATTAGCAAATTCTCAAGTAGAAATGGGGTCTTCCTGCACCAAATTCAGACTGGCTGGCTTTTGTAATGCTGGTCCAGTGAATTTTCCACATGGTTAAATAAAATAATTTCTGCTGTTTCTCACTCCAAAATAGGATACATATAATTATGCAGGAGGAATAAACTCTATTGCAATAAATTCTGTAGCTATTCTGAGAATGCCTGCTATGTTTCAGGTTTCTCCTTTTCCACTACATCACCACTCACAACACTGCCTATGGTGCCCCAAATTAAACGTGGAATATACCATACAACCTATAAAGTTAGAACTTCCTAAGTAGTTTACTCTGGATTTGATGAAAATCCATCCTGCCATTTTTGGCATTAATATACAGAAACTAACTTTTATTTGTATAAATTAGTTCTTTTAATTACATCTTATAGTTGGAGATTAGTGTATAAAACAAACTTTATATAGTACACAGAAATTACTTCAGAATTAACAGTCAATAAATGAGTAATTATAAATCCATTTATCTCAATGGAGTTAATTAAAAAAACAGAAAAAAGCAGTAAGATATAGATTTTGTTATATTTTTATTTATTTATTTCTTTACTTAGGAGTTTTCTTAAAATAAATTTGGCACATCACAAAATTATTCTGGATGCATTCAGGGTTTTTGTAAATATAAACATTTGCCAGTTCTAATCAGTATCAGTTTAATCATATATATATATATATATATATATATATATATATATAT